GCGCCTGATAATTTATATTAGTTAAATTACTTAACTGTATTAAAAAAAAATATCTTTCAAAATTAAGGAGCTAAAATTTTAATACACCTATAATATTCATAACACAATCTGACATAGGAGACAGACATTAGATTAATGTAAGTTTGTTCGTATGGTTGTATGTACTGCGTCCGTTCCAATTTAAGGTACAATATATGTAACCTAAACGACTGAACCGATTTTGAACTGAATCCTATCAAACGATTCTTATTATTTCTAGAAGTGATAAGATGCAAAGCCGGCTTCGTAATTACGTAATTTCATAATATGACAATATTGTTATATTAAAAGCGTTAGCTACAAATTGAAAATAAACAGAAATTTAAACCACTACAAAGAAACGTTTAACAATACATTTCCACTTATTAAACATATTTTCATCCCTCTCAGTCACTTTGAAAAAAATAGAGACGACAATATGTTACAACAGTGCTTCACGATTATAACAGTATTCTTGTTCTCGCAAACAGATTTCATTCATTAACGTCACCAAGACTACTTGCTACAGAGTGCTCTTAATTTCCCCCCAGTGGGCGCCACTATCGCGAACATTACAAGATTTATTGTCTACATTTAAACGCAGTCACTTTTAAATGCAGCAACTTGTAAAAAATGCAATAAATACTAAATATAGTATTATAATATTGTTTTTAAATCTTTATATATAATATATAATTCTTCTGTGAGTGTGTATGTCAGTGAACTTCTCTCAAACGACTGGACCGATTTTGATGAAATTTTTTGTGTGTGTTCAAGGGGATCTGGGAACGGTTTAGATTCACAATTTTCATCAAATATTAACTTCATATTAATTTATTCAAATTAAAGACGTGTAGACAGGACAACGTCTGTCGGGACCGCTAGTTTATATATATATATATATATATATATTTCATTTGTATATACTTGTCTAAGAATAAGTTTTCATTGTCGAAACACTTGTTAAAAACATATTATCTCCCTTTTCAATTGAAATAGCATAGACAATTTTGTAGAACTGAAAATTGTTTAAAAACAAAATGTAAAATTTAAGTTTTGTATTATACTTATTTGTAAGTGAAAAAAATATACTGTTAATGTCTCTTTTAAAACGAGAATGAAAAAAAACATAGTCTCTTGTATACCATTTTTATACTGAAATCTTACAAAAACTACGATACGCAAGTTCACAAGCAAAATCGTTTTTAAAAGCTGTAAAAATCTGTATGTGTAATATGTTAATCTGATGCAGATTACTGTATATTAAAGGCATGTCATAAAATCTAGCAGGTCGGCAGTCCGCAGTCGGGAGGAGCCTCTTGGGAAATTTTTACCTCCGGCTTTTACTGGAATTATGTTTTAAATATCCTACGCTGCAGTAAATATTTATGAACTACCTTTTCTATTTCTTAATAGGAAAAACTTATTTCTATAAAATAATCATAAATTGTTACATTTTAAGTGATGGAGTAATGTTTTTTTTTCTGGTTGAATATGAAAGAGAAATTTCATGTACCTACTCGACCGGTTAAAAATTGCTAGAAAACTAGACAATTTGGTAAGACTTGAAGACTGAGATTAAAAATGAAAATTACTTTACTAGTTTTAGACAGTATTAGTAAGAATTATTTGGCGCAAATGACTTGCTTCCGTTGCAAAGTCCAGTGTCAGAATGATGTGAGGGGACATAAACGTCGACATATTAGTAAGGCTAGTGTTGCGTCAAATACACTGGAGCATTTTCGATTTTTTTTCCTTACACTAGGTACTGTACCATTTTGTCGAAATAATTATAATATAACTTAGATTATACTCTAAAATTATTATAGACTATGTGTTCTTCCAGACTATGTATGCAAAGCAGCAAAATTGTAGGGTTGTTCTGTTACCTTCTAATAAACACCAAACAACCAAACTCTCGTATTTATATTAGTAAGATGTTTCTTTCATTCACATTATTTTTAAACGCTTTTTATATAATCAAACCAACATCAATACTAATGACATTCTAAACGTTAACGTCAGATCATTAACGAGGTACATTATCAGCAATAATTTCGATCGGAAATTAAATTTCCAACGCAAAAACTTGCCTAAAAAGGACTCAATCAAATACTCATCAATCAGCGATTGTCGTCTTAAAAAAAAGTTATATCCGCCGAGGAAATGGATTCCGATATCAACTGTCTTCGACAAAAAGAACGTGATAATAAGTAGCATATTTGTATTGCCATAATATTAAAGAAGTTTCTAAAAAATCTTAATCAAAAAAACATGTTAGTGCTACCTTTTCCCGTGACTTCTTCCGCGAAACTAAAAAACAAACTTAATAAGAACACTATGTTCAATGTATATCTCTGGCATATTTAATCGAGATCTTAATTTAAATGTATGTATATATAGATATTGTATGCAAGTAACACGACCGATTGTAAACTGAGCGAGTTTTAACCCAATTCTTTATAATTTTTCAAGTTAGTCGGGATTTTTTTTGGGTGTGAAATTGACTATTCGTTTCTTTTTACCTTTGTGTTCAAAAACGAAGGTACAAAGGATCTATTATTTCGTTTTAGAAATAAAGATGTATGATATCAGTATTTTGCGGAAAAGTGGGTAAGCGATTTGGAAGTTATGACGTGTTGCAGTGGCTCCACTTGAACATGGTCCAAACACCACGTGGCAGTGCGCCAACGATCGCTCAGAGATACGGTCATTCGAAAACTGTCCATTTTACTGATACACGATCGTGTTACCTTTTATAAGAGCTATACAAAGATTTATTGTAATAGAAAATAAATAAGAATAAGATATTTAATCCGTTCAAAGACAATTAAAAACACTAAATATTGCCGAAATTAAACTTATGTTATTGAAATTAGGGATACGATCAATATTGGATATACAAAAACGCAAAAAAAAAAATATAAGTAAGCGTTGTAACGTCGAAACAAAATCAGACTATTAAAATGAAATCTTTTCCAATAAATGATCTTTATTTGTAAATAAAATTAATATTAAAAATCGCTTTAATATTGCAATACCTATTTCGAAAGAAGTTACACTACTTATAAATAAATAAAAAAACTTATTCTAATCATTGCGTATATGTTAAAAGATTATTAATAGTAATTTAGAAATATTTTAAATAAAAGAAATCTTTTGAATAAAGTCAGATTAAATCGTATAAATGTTATCTGAGAGCTACATATTCAGTGGCTTACGGCCGCTTGGGAAATACAATAACAGTGTTTTTGCTCAATCCTATATAAAATTACTTCAATCTCAACAAATAACTATGAATAGGATTTTATATTAGTATCAATTTAACATCAAACGTATAATAATTATAATTTAAATGTGTTTAAATCGTTAGTGTTTTTTTAGCTTAAGGAAATTCAGAATGATCGTACTTAAACGTAGACGAGGGTGTTAATAGTTCCGACCCGAAAATGTATGTATAAAAGTACTAACACACTTTCCAATTAACAATCTTTTCCTCTAGTGTTTAACGGTTCAACATATACTTCCAAATATAATATAAAGCCAGAAACACCCTTTCAGTTTTGACTTCACAGTCAGACTCATAAAACTATGCAGGTGAAACTACAGGTGTGTAACCGGCTTTAAATCACACATTTAAAGATCATAAAGTTATTTGAATTTCCACTCCCAAAAACACATTTAGTTCTCTTACCATATAAGGAAAGAATGGGAAGGGGAAATGGGTTAAACGGAGCATAGGACGCCTAGGATGGAGAAATATTCTCTTTCCGTGCTCCTCCTCCTTCGATTAAAGTTATGCCATGCATCAGAAGATGCAGAAGTCTATAGGCAGCGGTCCCTTCGATATTTCGTCAAATTCAGATGGCTTGCTTACTCATTAACCACCATATGATATAAAAATAATAATTATTAAAAAAACAATATTGATAATTGTCTAAAAAAATCATCATTAGTGTTATCTGTATTCGACAATTGCAATTAACGATTACGAACTGTTTTCAATTTGCGACTTGATTATATCAACGTTCAAAACAAAATGTATTTGTAATTAAAACCACGACCCCCAAACGTACTAGATACGTGGACAAAACAGGTCAAACTATAGATCCGCATCAATATTATTTAATTTTATATACTGATTGTAGCTAATCAGATCTCCTTGAACGAATGACCCGGAGGCAAGACATCCGATCGTATGTCTTCATATTAACAGTAATTTGTCGTAAATATACATCGACTAATGAATCTTGAGACTTTGTAAGTTAATGTTTTTGAATCAATGGATATTAAGATCAAAGCTAATTTTATGAAGGAGACAAGAAAATGGGTCGGCGTATATTCGCAAATAAACAATTGCAAGTTCACTAATCTTACTAATATTATAAATGCGAATGTTAAGATGGATGTTTGTTTGAAAATATCTCGAGAAAGGCTGTATGGATCTCGGTGAGATTTAGCATAGTTGTTGAACATAGGAAGAACACGAAGCTACTAATTATGTTTGCTTTAAATTCCGCGCAGACAGAGTCGACGACCACAGCTAGTAATTCAATAAATCTGCTCATTTTATCTGCAAGAAGTATACAATTTAACCGCTATAAAAACTTATAAAATAAATATTTAGTCAAAGTTGAGTTGTTCACAAATGAACTCTGGAACTCATAGAGTTCATTTGTGAACAACGCAACTAAACAAAAACAATTTATTAAATTCAATATTCCTGTTTATAAGTTTAATTTAATCCCTTCTATAAGGAAAATGACTTCAATTGTTTGCAATACCAAAGTATTTTCCTTTTATTAGTCCTTGAAAATTAATCGGTACAAAATATAATTATGAAATTATCATACTGTTTTTTTTAGTATTAAGTCTCACTTATAATAATATTTTTTTATTAATAAAAAATTGTGCCAACCCTGAAATGAAAACTCTTAAAAGATAACTTGTTAAGTAATTACTTGTTTAATACAACACGACACAGTCGAAGGCCGAGCGCTGTGCGTGACGGACGTCTATATAGATTTTTATTTAAATTAAAAACGTGATAATGCTGTTACCTATATTCCACTTTTCCGCTATGGCGGTTGATATGTATGTTTTGTGGTACGATCAGACGTATGTGGAATTACCGTTTAATAATCCTCTGGTGAAAGCACTACCGTTAAAGTCACGGTGCATGTTCCTAACTATATGGTGTCTTGTAAGTTAACTTCTTTATTATTTTTTTATTATCTTTACATACATATAAATAAAATAAGCGAGCTTATCACCACCTCAAAGGCCGGCAACGCATCTGCGGTTCCTCTGGTATTGCTGATGTCCATGGGCGTCGTTGAACACCTCGGTGTTCCCGCTGCTGGTGTGCCCCCTTCTGTTATAAAAAAATTGGAGTGTCTGTTTGTAATATTGAAATAGGCGTTTTTTAATACATGTATATCTTACTAATATTATAAATGCGAATTTTTAAATGGATGGGTGGATTGATGTTTGTATGAAGGTATCTCCATAACGGCTGAACGGATCCGATTGAAATTTGGTATAGGCCTATAACATAGTCTTGAAGAACAGATGGGATAGTATTTAGGTGTTTTTATTTTATATTCCGCGTAGACGGAGTCGCGGGTGACAGCTAGTAAGAATATATAAATGGTATATACACCAAAATATTTTTACAATTTTTGTCTGTCTGTCTGTCTATCTGTCTGTTTGTTCCGACTAATCTCTGAAATGGCTGGACCGATTTTAACGGAACTTTTTTTGTCAGATAGATAATGTAATAAGGAGTAACTTAGGCTACGTTTATTGTAGAAAGATCCCCTTTTTTTTAGAAAATTAACTCGGACAAAGACAGGATTTCGCGCGGACGAATTCGCGTTGACAGCTAGCTTATTATCACAAGTATTTTGTTCGTATGATTAATATTTTTTCTTATATAATTAAGTTTATCAATAGTTGCTTTCGTCTATTATAGTCATCATATAATTGCCTCTATTATTATTGATTATATAAGTTTTTAACAGTTAACAATATCAAAGAACAATTTTTACACACGTGTGCTTCCAGACTATTTTCTACGTATATGTCAAATTTCAAAGAGATGCATACAGGGGTTTTCAAATAATCAAATAAACATCCATCCATCCAAAGATTCGCATTTATGATATAAAAAAAGAAAGATTAACACATGTCATTGGCTGATAATGTTTATTGTCTATGGATTTATTTTGGAACATTCCAGCGTTCCAGTGTTTAATGATGATATGTCTGTTTATAATAAGTCTATGACTACAGCCTTATAAAGGTAAAATAATTAAGATAGGTTAATCATATTATATTATATCTTTAAGAAATATAAAATTACTGACTTCTTAAGATTAGTAAGCGTTTCTGGTCATTTTTGGTACATCGTTATCTAGTTAACTGTAAATTGACCGGTTTCTTATTTGGTTGGCCATGAACGACGCGCTTCGAATTAAAATTCGCTACAAAAAATTAAATAAAACAACTTGTAAACTTGAATTTTAACTTGCATTACATCATTACATGCAGTATTTTTAGCCGACTTCAAAAAGAAGGAGGTTATATATTCGTCTGTATGTTTTTTCTTTTTATCTGTGTTAAAGCGTAAATCCGTCCCTGGTACTCCAATTTTGATTTTTTTTTATTGAAAGATAGTTCCTACGATCAATGACAGTTGTACATACATGATCGTGACATTGAAAAAATCACCAAATAAGAGATAGAAAAAAAAATGAATTAATAAAGGAAATATTTATTTCATACACACACATACGCGGGCAGTAGAGTTTATAAAAAAAATATTATGTTCGAAAACAAAAAAATAAATATTAAGAGTCAAGTTTGTGGTTAGAAAAGATTACTAATTAAGTTTTAAACTGACTAGAAGTTTAGTATTATAGATTTTGAGTTTAAGTTGAAAATGCGTTACAAAAATTTCAGACATTTATGCTTTCTTCGCGTAATTTCTTTCATAATAATGTAATAGAATACAAACTATAAAACAAAATTAATTTTATAATATCGTCAACATGATTTTATACAATAAACAAATTATCAAATGTAAAAAGATTCAAATCTAATTAATTCTCCATTTTATCTTTCATAGTAATAAACATTGTATCGAATTATTAATATTATTTTGAGATAAGAAACCAGGAAGACTTTTTACCTACGTAAATGATCAATAACCGATTTCTAAAAAGAGTTAACAAAGTAAAATGTAGTACTAAAGTTATGAATATTCCAATGCAACACGAGTATAATTATATCAGTAGATTATAGATGCACTTTTCATATACATGTTTTGCCGCAAGATTCCACTACTGCGAAATTCTTCTATAAAACATGTTGGTTTCTATTTTTATGAAGGAGCTGTCACCAGCGACTCCGTGTGCGCGGTATTAAAAAAACATAAACAGTACTGACTGATGCTTGGCTCCTATTGGTCGCAGCGTAATGCTATATAGCCTAAAGACTTCCTCTATAAATGGACTATCCAACAAAAAAAGAATTTTTCAAATCGGACCAGTAGTTCCTCAAATTACCGCGTTTAAACAAACAAACTCTTCAAAAGTAAAAACTAATACAGTTTTTTTTCGAACGGTCTCGCTTACAAAATACACTAAAATTAAATTTAATATAATTTAATAAAATTATTATTCTAAAAACAATTTTTTAAATCTTCCTTCATTATAATATGTGTTACTTGAGTCAAATACAATATTAATTAATAAATATTGAGATAAAATATAAGAGAACATCAAATAACCATCATTTACTATTACAAACTGCTAATGAACGTTCATAGATATCATTAAAAAGTTTATTGCGTGTCTATGATATCTAAATATGTCAATTATTTGCACAACAATGAAGTTACACAATATGTATAGTCAGTCAATGATAACAAGTTTTTATATACAAAGTATAGTGCAATTCAAACTTTATAGCAGCTCGTAATTGCGCACCAAGCATTGTGCGCAACAAATTTAAGCATTGACAAACATTGAGTTTCCACTGCCATAAAAATTGTTAAAACAAATAATTATTATCTCTGTTTTTAAACGAGTAGAAGAACTATGATGTAATCCACAACTAGTCTTTCTCCACTCGCATTTAGAGACGGACACACTTACCTGCGAAAATATCCACTCACCACAAACCGAAAGCGGCCGTAAAGTATGAATCTCTTTATACATGCCTTGTTAACTGAACTAAACACTCTTATGCAATGTGTAATCAACTAAATATAGGTATTCGTATTCTGGTACTTTGCTTCGACAAATAAAACGTCATTTTAATTGCTAAACCAACAGGTTTGACAGCTTTTGTCTGTAGACTTTATTACAAAGTAAGACTTTACCTATGCATTCGATTCTTATTTTTCTAGCTGACATTTAGCTAACACTTCTACTACTATTATTGTCAAGTTTCCTTTCCCGTATGCTTCAGTTACCTTCCTTTCTGAGTTCCGTCAAAATCGGTAAAACGCAGTCTTGCGGACAGACTTACAGACAGACAGACCAATAAATTTAAATATTGGGTTTTCGTTATCAGCAACTCAAATACCACGTGTACGAAATAATTTTTTTTCTGGATATCACATACAGACATTTCGATTATATTAATATGTATATATATTAATACAATAAACAATGTATCCGTGTTAAACCATCATGACATACCTCGACTCCAGCCGCCAGGATGTCGCGACAGGTTGTGCCTACGTCGCGACACTAATTATAAATGTATGTCGCCTGCACTGCTGTGCCAGACACAAAATTGCTGTATTACTTATTCTATGCATCGCAATGTTTGTGGTCCCAGAAATGTAATGTATGAAAAAAAAGTATTTCTCGTTGTTTGCACCAAAAGATACCATACGAAATTGGTTGACTTTTGAGGTAAATTTATGTTTGATAACTAATAAAAAGAAATATGTATACCATAAACTAAACACTTTTGGTTGTTAACCGTGATATGGTTCACTGCTATATGTAAGCCTAAATGAATGAATTACGTGAAACGTGACTGGATTAACATGGAAATGACGACTAAGATGACGGAAGACAGATCGATGTGGAGGACGAAAACTGTTGCGTGAACCTTACGTGGGTGGTACAAGCTACACGGACACAATTTGATGAACTGTATATAGTATATTTGTCGTGTAGTTACATTGCTGTGTGCAAGAGTAAGACAATGGAAACCCAATTAATCTAATTGTAACTTTCCATATCAATGATTTGAATTAACAACGTACTATTGTTTAGACCAAAGACTAACTATAGGAGATCTGTGTGAAAAGACCTTTATTATGCAATTGATATAACAAAAACTCTACATTTAACTCAGAACACGACTTAATATAATTTTTTTGTTGTTTACTTTCAGATACTTCAAATAACGTACCACATGGTCGCCTTCCTAAACGATGTCTTCGGAACCAACGCTGCAGCACCAAAGAAGAAGCCTATAATACGACTAATTAAAGATGTACTATTTAGCGTAGCTTTCCCCGTGGCTGTGTACGTTTCTAGTGCATTTTGGGGAATTTACGCTATTGATAAAGACTTGATATACCCAGAATATATCGCTAAATTATACCCAGAATGGGTCAACCATATTTTACATACGACTGTAGCTATTTTCATGTTTATTGAACTTCTAATCACTAACAGAAATTATCCATCTAGAAAAGTAGGGTTATCTGCCATGTCCACCTTTATTGTTTTATATATTTCATGGTACTTGACTGTGTATTTTATGACTGGTACATGGGCTTATCCTCTTTTCGATGAGTTAAACTGGCCATTAAGAATAGTGTTCCTTCTGTTTAGTTATTTAGTAGTTGTCGCGATATATATTGTCGCTGAAAAACTAAATTATATTGCAGCCGGTTCTAAACCTGAGAAGAACTTAAGTGGTAAACATAAAAAACGTTGATTAACATGAGTTGCATTTTGTTTTCTAAAATGTATCATGTTTTCACGTTTATGAAGAATCTAATAAGTTATTTTATAAAAATAAATGTTGAATTTTTTTCATTTCTTTTTTTAATCTGTCATAGAAAATCGATTTTTTGTCGTCATCATAACATCGATTACGCTGTGTACTTTGTAAAATTTAATACAACTCTATTTAACGATATTACAATTTATTATTATGTTAAGTATTATATTGGAATTCACCATAAAATCTAAAAACTAGGCATAATAAAAATTACGTCATTACATATCCAAGTTGAATCTAATTTTTCAATCGTATCTTTTTCATCAAATGCGATACACGAACAATAAAATTAGACATAGGTATTCTGACAGATTAGATAATTAATTCAAAATAATAAAGCAATATAAAAAAAATGAAACTCTGTTATGACTCATAATTTATTTAATTACATAAAATTCCTGTACAAATCTAAAACAAGTCTATTCTGTTTTATATTCATAAATATTAATAGCCAGGAATCTTACTAACCTTATCTTACTTCTTACTAATATTATAAATGCGAATGTTTAGATGGATTGATGTTTGAAGGTATCTCCGGAACGGCATAACGAATCTTGATGAAATTTGACACAGATTTAGAACATAGTTTGGAAGAACGGTTTTGCGGGTGACAGCTAGTTTATTATAAAATTATAACATTTATTTTTAATTTAATTTGATTTTCTAAAACGTTAAAACTTCAACAATTTAGTCAAAGTATATCGCACTTCGGGCATCTGTTTCTTGTTGTGCGTGTCCTTATTACTAGGGGTATAAGTGCTATATTCGTATGCCACTCTTCTATTGACAGCTGTCGCTATGTGTAGCACGTCTAAAGTGTCGTGATACTTGTCAATCGCCTGGCAAAGTTCTTGTATTAAGAAGGAGCCTAACGCAGTACGGAATGCCGCATAACCTGAAATAATTACTAGTCTTTATTTTGAACAAAATCCAGAAGAAATAAGATAGAATAAAACACACCCCTGATCTCACAATACATACAATAATACTGAGAAAACAATAAAAAAATACATAGATAATAGTAAATATGGAGGTAGTTTTTCTTGCAATATAAACTTCTATCAAGCGATCTACCTTCTAGTAAGTTCTATACGACTATTAGACGACTACAGGTGCCTTTGGAATCTACTGTAGAAATCTCACTAGAGAGGTTTAAAGTAAAGAAGATTAATATCTTCTTTAGCTACCTTCAACACTAGAGTACATGGTGAAGAAGTCAGCGTGCGAAGGTACGTGGAAAGTGAGGTCATCATCGGCGTCCAGCTGCACCGTCCTGCCGTCATCCATGTCACCACCGCGACAAGCCTACGTGTGACAATGTGACAGAAAATTAAGAATGGAGACAACAGAATCAATAAAAATAATGACTTTCGCATAATCGTCCGTGGTAATTGCCTTTGGATAAAATAGGGCCAAAAATCAGTGTTCCAGTATTTTTTCACATCATACAATGAATTATTGGGCTATACGTATTTATTAGACCTATTTTGTCGCCCTTTTTGTAAAGAATCGTTAAAAAGTATTAATATCATTAAATTAACATGTCCTTCTTAATATTATCAACGTAACCGTAATAAACTATTACCTGTATAAAGAAGAGTTTTGGCTTATTAACTAAACTCTTGTCTCCATTTTCCAGCATCTTAGTGACGTCACTAAACTGATATGGACGGTCCGAAGCGAACAGTTGGCCACCCTTATCACCGTGAGTCAGAATAGCGAAACACAAACATGACGTCATAGTGTGGTCCATACGACTTACTGAAAAACATACAAAAATATTCTATAAAATTAACGTTATTTATAAATTGAAGTTCAAAAGCATATTGTTATCCCTCTCATTTTCTTAGACAAAACTGAGACAACATTACTATATTTTATATCGATTTTTCAGATAATACCAGAAAATACAGGCCAGTTTTAACATTATAATTGTCCCTCAAACTGCAGTAAACCATCTACATTTATGCGTTGACTTTTTTACTTCATAATTAAAGTATTATATGCTAAGTATATCACGTAAGTTAATAACTACTAAGGTTTCTAAGGCGGATCTTCCATTACATTCTTCTTTCTTATGTTCGTGGAGCAAGATAAAAAGAAACGAAGATATGTAAAAAACCTTTGCTAATGCGATTAAACAATTGTTGTATTTCATTGGTCGCAAAGGAAGAACAGATCAACAATTATACATTACTTTGTCCCAATCATATTAAAGTAGCCTAAGTGTGGCTGGCTGAAGAGAGAGATGGCTATAGAAAATCTCAAAATAAAAAATAAGCAGATTGTCTATGGGCACGATTCAATGTTTGCAAAGTTGTTCTAACATCTTACTTTCCAGCGCCTTGTTAAGTATTTCGCCGTGATCCAAGTCATGGTAAGTTAGGACCTTGTATCCTAAATTGGAAAAAGTTTTCTTAAGTGATTCTACGTCTTTTTCTGTTCCTTTCCGTGGTGTCGGTGTTTGAAAACTACATGAAAAAAAGTAGAAACAAACGATTCTTTTTACACCATCGCATTACGATTTACGACTATTTCAACATCGCATTTCAACAAAAATATATTAAAACCATGTCTTTGTACGTACTTAAAATATCTGGTCATTTTATATTTAGTGTGATTAAATATCACAAGATATTTATCACCGGACATATCATAAAACAAATCTTCCGGATTGAATATCGGTTGCGCTTTGGTCACAAATCTTGTTTCATTGCGTGCATCATAAGTCTTGCTGGTGTTTTGACTGGAATGGAAGTAGAAAGACGAATTAACTTTTCTTTTCTTTTAACCTTAAATTCACTATTTCATATAAATTGTATTGAAAAAAGTTGTATAAGAAAAAGAACATAAACTTAAACTGATTAAGGCAATGAAGAATTTATATGAAGTTTCGTGAAACAATTTATGGTATTTCGAAAAATCAAATATAATTAATTACCTGTCATAAATAATCTGTATATCGCAAATGATAAAACCTAAATATTTACCTTGAATTTGTTGGATAACTTGGATTTACATCTGAGAAAGTTTCTTCCATTTTAACAAAATAAACGAATTTGTTAGTTTAAAAAAATAGCCTGCATAAAAACCTAAAAAATTGTTTATACGACACTGGACGCACTTCTGCAAAAATGATAAGTTGCCGAGTGTTCAACGTATGATAAAATGATAAGTAAACCGCTGATATTGATAGTGCCGTCATATTCATATATCCACTTTTGACCCATTTATTTAGTTCAATTTATTTTTTCTACGGACAATTAATCGACTTCAGCTAACATGTATCCGCCTAAAGGCTTGAGTCTTAGCTTTTAGTTGATACTTCTATATGACTTTGCTAAGTATGCTACTATTTTTGTTGGTGTTGCTACCAAAATCTATCAATTATAGATATCACTTGACACACCGCCCGCGCGGAATAAAAAAAAAACGTAATAAGTAGCCTACATGTTCTTCCAGACTATATTCTACAACTGTGCCAAATTTCATTAAAAAGAGTTGAGCCATTCTAGAGATACCTTCAAAAAAGCAACTATCCATCTGTCTAAACTTTCGCATTTCTAATATTAGTAAGATTTACTATGGCCTAGTCACTCCTAAATTGTATACGCTGTAAACCTCTCGGTGGAGATATATGATGAACTGAAGACGACGAATAAGTCTAAACTTTGTTAAAACTGTCACATTAAGTTTGAGATGTCTAAAGTGAGAAGGTACAAAAAAATAAGGCTCTGAGACTATAAATAAAACGATTTAAACTACATGTTGCCCATTTGAAGGCACTAATAGTTCTACTGGTCAAAATAATCCGCCCGTAGTCAATTTGTAGTAGTGGGGATGAGAGTCTGTGTCAGTGTCTGCATAACAGAATAAGCTGACACTGCATTTAAGAGGGGAAACGACAACTATTTCTTTATCAAAATTTATTTACAAAGACTTTGTATAATACATTAAAAATTTTATATGACAACATGAGATTCAAATCCTTCCACAATAAATTTAGTATCTTCATCTTCCTTTTTCTTACGTCTTGATCGTCTTTTACGGTAACTCCATTTGACAGTACTTAAGTTCATAGTAGTAAGGCATTTCTTAAACAAATGACACAAACTTTTATAAAAAGTTAATACACTTGTAGCACCTTTTAGGTACTGTTCAATAAAATGTATTGGGTCATCTTGGTTTTCTAATTTTAGAGCTATATTATATATAAATGTTCCATTGTAACATTTGGAATAATTTGTACTTCTAAATGGATCTCCACACAAGTTATTGAGGCCATTAAACTGGAGCAAACAGCTTTGGAACTGTGCAAATGAATGTATTTTCTTTACATCATAACTTTTAGGCCTCTTCCTAATGCTGTCATCAATTTCGAAATGTTTTAAAAGAACACTACCAGCTATAAGACAATCTTCATATTGAATCTTGTGTTTGTTTAAAAATAATTCTTCATCAATTGACGCTGGTACAAAAGGACGCTTCTTCAGTTCTTCAATTTTTTTAGAATGTTTGTTATTGAAGAAATTGTGACCTCGGAATTTTCCAATTTTCTCATCAATAGCATCTAAGAATACATAAGTTAGTATCAAGCTGTGAACATGAGCCAGAGGTACACTGCAGCTCCTTATCCACCATAGAATTGATATCATGTATAATTGAAAATTATGTGGCAATAACTCTATGGCTTCATAGTCTAATGGCATTTTCTGTTCTAGGAAATGATAAAAATATTTCTTTAATTGTTCATTATTTAATTCATTAAATGGTGTTTCTATAAATCTTGATATTGAATACTCTTTATCTACTAACAACCTCTTATAATTAGAATTGTTTTCTCTGCTGACATATACAAAATGTTCATGTGAAAAGTCTGTTAATATATCAAACACATATCTAAGTATTGGCAATGCGCACAATGATGCATCTTCATCAGAATAATCTTCTGCCTGCGGTGAACTAAAATACAATTGATGAGTATACAGATTGATATAGAACCTTGGAACCTTATTTAATCTTATATACTCTGCCAGCCATTCTGGCATACCATTAATATGATTATTGTTTGAATTTTGCACATCTGAATCTGTGTTTTCTTTCGTTGATGATGTAGAAGAACTATCATCACTTTCCTCATTGTCAGTTTCCTCGCTGCTATCAATTTCATTATCATTTAAAGTAATTTGTATGTTTGTATCTAAACAGTCTAAAGGCTCTTCTTTACATAGATTGAAGTATTTTAATGACAAACAATGTGTTCGATGGTAACCGTTAATGCTTTTTGTAATTGTAGTAAGTACTTTGTTTCTTCTCTCCTTTTTTAATCTTCCTAATATTTTACTTATAGCTGAATCAAGAGATTCATCCTGCAGCCATTTAAACAATGAATGGATGTTTCTTTGTTGTTCATTTCTTTTGATCCTACTTTTTTGTAATTTTAATTGAGAAAAAAATTTGTTGAAAACTCTCTTCTCTACAAAATCATTTCCAAGTAATGTTGCCAGCAATGGTAGTAGTTCTTCTTTTAAACCACCAAAGTTTGCAGCTAAATATTCGACTTTAAAAATCCTGCATTCCATGACATGCACTTTTACATTGTTGAGGACAATCTGTTTTGGTTTAATTTCAAGTGTATTAAAAGGTATGTACAGAACATTGTAAATAAAGAAATCTGAATCATAACTGAGAACAGGGCAGTTCAAATATCTAGCCATAGCGGCGATTTCATCGTCAGCTTCAAATTCACATGTTGTGTACGGGACCATCATTTCTATGAGAACTTCTTTAAAAACATCCCTAAGCAGTAATGGAAATATTTGTAAGCTCGATTGTGTGACAGGATCTAATCGAGATGCCCCATTTATTTTAGATCTTAGTCTGTTGTATGCAGTTTTTAGCTTTCTCATCTCATAGCTTCCGTCGAAAAGAACATACGGATTGAGATTGCATTTTCGTAGGCTTTTGAAAAATGTTCTTATATATGATGCAAATTTGTCGTAGTCGCCGCCAAAGGCTGAGAAACAATTCAGGGACCGATACAATTGTGAACACAGGCTATGGCCATCAATCACAAGATTACAATCATGAAGATAATGTCGACGTAAAAAAATGTCTTGGTTACTATTTATATACGTAGTTAAGCCTCTAACTCCCATATTTTAAGCTTCTCTCAAATAGGAACAATTTGATGAAAAATTCATTTAGTAAATATTAACAAAAGCTTTTTATTTAAAACTATTCAACAAGTGTTTTTAAATTTGGAGTTTTGGAGGTTATGTCAGTTTTGTTCCATTTTTTGTCATTTTGTTAAAACATATTTTACGGCTCTAGGTGTCAGCTTGCTGGTTTTGGTTTAAGCCAACATATTTAATTTTTTAAAGTTTGCGTTTGTCACCATTTGCCAATACCTATCTCAATGTGAAATCATAAATTAGTAGTAAGATTTAAAAATATACAATGGTCTTAAGAAAGCGTTTACATAAACAAAATAACAATTTTCACTTTGGTAATTTTTCCCGACAATGTCAAAAACGGCGTTATTCATTGCAACATTAGCCCTGTTCTGTCATTTACTTGTCACTCTCGGACGCCCAACATCATCAAACCATAACTTGTGATATTGCGCCGGCGTGTTCGTTCGTAGTGAAAGAAAACTATAACACGTGTTCGAAATAAAAGGATAATTTCTAACGAAGTTATACTTATCTTATTTATTCAAGTCTAAAAGCAATAAAGACTCGTAAGTATTTTGAATCTGTTCCAACAATTACACCACGTTTTCACTTTATTACATCGCGTGGGGTTAACATAAATATTTTCTTGTATGCCGTAGGTTTTCTACAATGACTGAAGAAAAAGAAGTGGCGACTGAAACCAACGGTCAAGAAAATGATAAAGAAAACAATGCCGAGGAGGAAACTAATTTAGAAAGTGCCGTCATTCGGCAAGTTGAATACTATTTCAGTAAGAAACATATTTTTGTCTTTTGAATTTATTTACGAAGATGACATTTAGATTGGTCTAATATTAACTTTCATTCAAATTTTTATAAAAAATCAGTAGAATCTTCAAGTAAAAAACTAATTACTAAATAATACAAATTGTTAGCATATGTCATATGTTTAACATGTCTTATCTCAGGTGATGTGAATCTCCCCCGGGATAAGTTTTTGCGAGAACAAGTAACATTGGATGATGGTTGGGTGCCTCTCGATGTGCTCACCAAGTTCAACAGGCTGGCTAAACTTAGTACGGACATAGAAGTCATTGCTAATGCCCTTGCCAAATCAACATCTGGTCTCCTTGAGGTTTGTATAAAAACAATTAAAATACTTTCTTGCAACAATAAGCTTCTTAAAATGTTGAAAGTGCTTTGATGGGTTACTTTACTTTATACTATACTTAAATATGAATAAAATCTGTAGCACCATACTCAAAGTCCTTAATGAGTAATATATGGCAAGAGTGTTATAAATCATTAATGAGTAGACACTTATTAGTATAATTTAAACAACTCTATTTATCCACTATCAATCTCAATGGTACAAGTAATTTTTACCCTTATTTCATAACAATAAATGACTAAAGATACACTTTTTTCCTTTATATTTAGATTTCAGATGATAACAAAAAAGTAAGACGGAATCCCGAGTTGCCAATCCCAGAGATGAACGAGGAGCGGCGCAAGGAGATGATGGCAAGAACTGTCTATGCCAAAGGTTTCCCTAAAGATTCAACCTTGGATGACCTTCTTAAATTCTTTAAAGATTATGATGGTGTTGAAAATATTATAATGAGAAGATATCAGGACAGACAGACCAAGAAAAGACATTTCAAGGGATCAGTGTTTTTAACTTTTAAGACTAAAGAACAGGTATGTAGTCAAAAATACAATTACTATTTACTTTTGTTTATTCTAAGTTTTATCCAATAATCTAGACATTTTCCAAGTAAATTCAATAATATTGACATATTGCCCTATTCATTTTCATGGCAAGTTAAAATAAAACTAGAAAACACATCAATTAATATAGTCCTAAACATTCCAGTTAACACTTTCAATGCCACCAACACTTCTCCAAGTCCACATTTAGCAGCATTGGATGTGTTAAATTTTGTTACAAAAGTTCTGATTATTCAGTCATTTTTTTCAGGCTGACAAATTTATGGAAAACAAAGGTATGAAACACAATGACACAGAACTGATTGTTCTTTGGCAAGACAATTATCTGCAGATGAAGCAAGAAGAGCATGCTGCCAAAAAAGAACATAGAAACAAGAAAAATAAAGAAAAAGAAGTGAGTATTTTAAGTATCCTTTAGCAATTACATTGACAACTTTAGTTGATTAGTCTTTCTAATTTTTTTATAGTAAAAGGCAATCTAGCAAGTGGCCACTTGAATTTACCAAAATAATAAAACATTGCCCATATGCATTAAATCAACAGAGGAGGGGATGCAATGAAAGAGGCTGTTTTCCCATACCATGTGTCCCCTCCACAAACAATTTCACATACCATTTCCATCTTTCTATTTATTTATACTTATCCACCCTCTAGGATCTCTTACCTAATATTCTTCATCTAATCCAGAATTTGAATCGTCAATTTTAAACATAATATTTATAATGTTGTAATAAATTTTCCTGCATTTCAGGAAAAGAAAGAAGAGAAGGAATTCAAACTGCCGACCGGCACTGTGTTGCATTTTAAGCAAGAAAACGAGAAAATGACCAGAGAAAATATTAATGAAGCCTTAGTTGCATTAGGTAAGACTTTGATTTAATAAAATTATATTTATATTATGAATGTGAAAGTTTGGAGGGGTGTTCAAAAGTAACTTCAGATCGGCTCCATAGATAAAAATTTGTTATAGATGTAGAACAGTCTAGATAAATATATTATGTTACTATTATCAGGAGGAAATAATTCTTTTTAAATTAATTATCAGGTGCAGAGATAGCTTTTATAAGCTACAAAATTGGAGAAAAAGAAGGTTGGGTGCGACTCACGAAAGAGGATGCAGCCAAAGAGGTAGCGGTGAAAATACCAGATGGAAAACTGACAATTGAAGACACAGAAGTTGTCTTCAAACTTCTTGAGGGTGATGAAGAGAAGGCATATTTAGATAAAACGATTGAAGAAATGTCGAAACGTCGCAGAAACCAGAAGAACTTCAAACAGAATAAAGGAAAGAACTACAAAGGGAAACAGAACAGGAAACGTAAACAGGATGACCATGGTGATGCACCACCTTCTAAGGTTAAGGCTGATAGTTAGTTATTACATTGTACTGAATTTATTAATCTAAGGATGCTTCCATATTACAAAGAAACAATTTCAAGATATTTCCTATACATAACTATAAACCTGTGATTAAAATAAATATTTATTCCAGAATCGTAAATATTGATAACTTTACAGGGCACATAAACATAATAGTTGAGTTCTGTGCTATTAAAAAAAGGTTGATCAGAAAATTATATCCTATTTGTTTCAGTACTCAAGTAGAGTTCTAATTACTGTAATACTGTTAGATATTAAGAGTAAAATTTAAACAGCCTTAACTATATATGCATCTAAATGCACATAATTAAAAAAAACTAATATACATATAATTAAATGCAGGTTACAGTTGTTACATAGGTTGTAAATCAGGAACTAAGTTCCTCTCTGTAATCTGCTAAATTTGTGTAATTAAAATTACTTTTAAAATATAGTTGTTTTATTGATTACTGTACATGATAGTTATCGGACGCATTTAATTTATTCACAATGCGCTATCTAAGCGGCAAAGTATTCAACGTTTTCGTCGAAATCAACCAATCATCAGCCTATGTTAGTTCCACTGTATGCAGTGCGCTGCTTTCTGCATCCAGCAATTTCCTGTCATCAGAGGTCATCCTCCCAACAGGAAGGAGAGCGCACCGCGATTCTGGTACCCCCACCTTGGCCACCATTCCAGAATCAAAAATCTGTAACCTAACCACTTAATGATTCATTTAGTATATGGAAGCAAGTTTCGAGCTCAGCTTTGAGAGTACATTTTATCAAAACGATTTTGATAATTGCCAAAGAGTATATAATTGCACATAAAAGGTTGGTTTTGTTCTATGATGAAAATATTGTCTATGATTATTAGACAACTATTTGTCAGTGTCAACTGAACTGACACATGATTGACAAGAATCGATGAAATAACCACCAACACCAATAATTTTAGCTTCCTTATTTATTTATTTACGCTACTGTGAAGTCGAGAAGAAAGTTTAAATATTGTAATATATGACTGACATTAATTTTATCGGGATTATGTTTTTAAAATAAAAAAACATGAAGACGGATCCTGAATTAAAAAGTGAATCTGAGACTCCCGGGCCCGTAGTGACCGGCGATGTGATAGGGGACACAGCGTATAGCGAGCGCTTTGTGTTGAAAATATTGTTAAAATTAGCAAACTTGGACTCTTTGAAAGATGAATTAAACGAAAAAGCCTTCGAAGACGATATCTGCACTCTTTGGGATATGACGGTGGAAAGGGACGTTGTTTTGTTCTTGTTAAAACATAAGGTATTAAATCTTTTTAATTTTGCATTGCCGACTATAGAAACACCTCGTTACATTGAGATATTTGTGGGTATAATTGGAAATATGTGCTGTCAGAAAGAAGCTGTGAACACACTCATAAAAATGGATGAATTTTTAAATTTGCTACTGGATTACATTAAGACAGATGACAGTTTGATACTCATACAATTGCTGCGTTTGGTGAGTTCCGCATTACCTTCGATGAACAGTGAAGACATAGCAATCTGGTTAAACATGTTCAATAAAGTTGGCTATTCAGAAGCGCTTTATTATATCCTAAAAAACTCATCAAACAAACAGCTTCTAGTGACCGCATTAGAGAATTTAAATACAATTTGTTCATATTGTAACATACAAAAATATAGAAATCAATATTTTGAACATTTTGTTTGTAAAGAAGCCCTTACTTCAATGACAACAGCTTTCACGGAACTTAGTATCACACAAAAAGAAAGCTTATCAAAAGACGAATTGGAGAGAATTATGATCATAAGTTTACAAATGACTTTAGATATGGTTAGTTTTGAAAAGCCCACAGAAATATTTGATGATTGTAATGAAAATGTCGGGACAATCATAAGTACTATCTTGGGATATTATGAAGCTAAACTTGTACAAGAAAAAGAAATTGATTCCGATCTGGTTGACTTACTGGAATGTATAAATAACATAATCAGGATTATACCAATTAGTCAAGAATGTGAACCAGATAAATACTTTAACACATGTTACAGTATGTGGAAAGCTCTAAAATCTATAACAAATGTTAATCAAAATGGGGATAGTAACTTTGAAGAGGTAGATAAAGAGGAGTTTCAAGAATTTGTTAAGAATATGAAGCCATCTCTAAGTGTTGTAATGTGTAAGTACATGCAGGAATGTTCTCAGGAACATTTGTTTAATGTATTGGATAAAATTGGTAATGATAATGAGGACATATTAATGTCACTCACAGATATGGATATGAAGGTTGCAGTATCTAAAAGAATTTTTGATTATAAAACAAGATTAAATGAGAATTTCGATTCATAATTGTTTTTTTTATCTTTTATTGTGCGTTAAATATGACAGTGGGGACCTTACAGGTAGGTCTTTTACTACTCAAAAATTAACAACTCTTTGTTCTTTGGATTCAATAGTTTGTCACCTATTATGGGTAAAAACGTCAGCTCTATGTGAAGGGTAAGACAAAAACATTTAGCTTTGCTGTTCTTAACATCAATACTTTATTATATTTTCACTTCTTTTCTTAGTATTAGGTTGAAGGTTAATGTGGGTAGTTAGTAAATAAAACGTCATTTATATGGGATTATATATTTTGTAGACATTATAAAGCAACATTTACATTACCATAAACGAGTTTCGTACCGTCGCGAGTGCGACGGACTAAAACTATTCGAATGTAACAGTACATCGTAACAACGCTCGCACGGCGGCCATCTTGGCCTCGCACACTACACATTTATTCATCACATTAAAAAAAAAAACGTACACCACAAATACTGAAAGGGAGAACAGAGATTAATAACTGTATATTTTACATTAAATGTACTTATAAACTAACTAACCACGAGCCTACTTGCCCACTACCGGGGCCGAATCGCACAATTTAAATATCAATTCGTAAATATTTAGAATATTATATCGTTAAAGAATAAAAACAGAATAAAGACTAGACTTTACACTGATCAACGACAAAATGGCTAACAGCAACAAATCGCGAGTGACGCCGCTCTGCGGGAGGCAGCGACCTTAAACTTAAAAATAAAGCGACGCGCGCCGCCACTGGCAACACCGGTCCAGACGAACAACTCAGGGTAGCCAGTTCATTCTTTTATTTAATTTTCTATGTAATCACAATTTATAAATGACATACTGGCCATACTTTCATGTTTTATTGCATTACTGTATTATAAATATCCCCGCGTCGTCTGGAGCGAGTGTTGCCAGTGCTCTACTCAAATAACTGAGCGAACAAATAATATAGCATCCTTAAAACGTAACATGTGACCGAGTCACCGCCCCGCAGAGTACTATATCAATACACTACAAAACATACTTGTTACCTACTCAATAAATTACATAAATAATCTGAATTTAAAAACAAATCTTAGGCTTCTGATAATAATTATTGTTTATCGAATACACGACAGCTGTTAGCTACGCTTGACTCCGCACATTGCGACTGTCCCGTAATTAAACAATCATTAGGAAGCCTCAAAAGTTCCTTAAAACTTTATTATTCTTGCTGCATCTACTTTGTAGTAGCTTATCATTTAGTAAGACAGTGCAATGTGCAGAGTAAAAGGAACAGGAGAAATAATATTTACATAAAGAAGCGTAGACAGAACAAGCCCGCGAGTGATATGAACGCGTAGTGAACCCCCATTTGTACTGGCAGGGATATGTATCATTTATAACTTGTGACATTAAACAGTTAACATATTGCATTGCTTTTTATATCATCAAATCTTAACGTTAGAGCATAATTTACTTTGAATTTCAATAATTTATCCTATCCACATCAAGTTTCGTCATACAGTGAACTATACGAGAGAAAAGTGTAAATACTTATCGTATAAATAGTAAAAGCGAAATTCCAACAATACTTTACGATAGCCAAAACCCATCCAATTTGTATATTTTTTTTGAAATGGTCCATTTTTGGCACATTATCGTCCAAATATGTATAAATAATACTATGCGACGCGTGGTATGGCAACACCAACGCTACAATTATAAATTTACAAGAATTTTTAATAAAATTTAAGCAATTTTACCCGATATTGCAGGAAATTTTTAATTTATAATGTGGCAATACTTTCTTAGTAACCCCACGTATGCACCCGTTTCAAATGTTACCATACACATTTCTTTTTAACCTGTCTTTTTTTCTGATAAATTTCGCCTTTTGATATATCATAAGATTGCAATAAAAATAAAGCCTCTTTAAATTAGATCAACCTGTAAAGATCTAATGTGCGTGTTTGTAAAATACGTTCAATTTGAAAAAAATATTTAAGAAAATGTCTATGGAACGTTTGAAACAGGACTTAGCCCCTTACGAATATTCTCTTTGGTACATATTTGTGAGCAAAGACAATCGAATATAGTCTGTTCGAATATAATATAAACGACAAGCCTTAAAGCGACAAGGATGCTTAATAACACGGAATACTATCGTTGCCAATATATTATGAACGTTACGTCTAACGCATTAAGGTAGATTTTTAATTCCATCGATTAATGTTGCACTAGGGTCGATCGTATAGACCTCAAGGCGATCACTGGAATGTTCACATCGATACACCGTACATTCGCACGGACACATTACACATATTGCTTTTATTTTAAGCGTATTAACTTCGAGTAGGCACGACATCTATTTTGTACTTACACGAAACACTAAACACGATTAAATATACTAAATATATATTTAGAAACAACCTAAGTCCCCGTTTTCGTTGTCTTGAACGGACTGTGTTGACAGATAATGGCTACGGGGTCACACGATGACAAACCTCAGGGTTAACATATTGGTGTTAACACGGCAAGGAGTTGTCGATACATCGGATTATTTAACAATAATATCGTGATGAATCACTGAAATATTACTACAAATACTAAAATACAATTTCAACAGACGAAATAATGATAATATTTCAAAATAAAACGTCACGATTGCAAAGATTAGATCCGATTAAAAAATCCTAGTGATCCGAAAAAACTTCTTTGTAATCTATTGCCCACTTCATAAGTATTAAATTTGCAATATTTTAAAATGACTTCAAAAACAATTGTCATTAAAAATCTGAACACAAGTTCGCGGGTAAAAATATAACAGATAGCATAAAATGCTATATACCTTTGCTGATATACCGTAAAAGAGTTTAAAAGTAACAAATCAGGCAAAACTCAATCCGACTGTCGAATCCAGCAAAAAAAAAAACAAATCGAGTAATTTTTTAGCACAATCGATTAATCGTTAATCGGAATAACCGTCCTATAGTGTGGATAATCGAATAGAATCGATTGAGAGGTGTACAGCGCAGGATAAGGGGTGAGTGGGGAACAAGAAGACTACTATACGAGATTGCTCTCCGTGGGTGGGGTGTGGGGGTGATGTGGGTGTTGGGGGTCTACGCTCCTGAAAAGCCGTACACCTCGAGGACTCGTATCTCGAAGTCCCCGCTGGGGCAGAGCGGCGGGTTGTTGAACGTGGAGCAGCGGTCAGTCTTCCCGAACCTGATGTTCTCGTCCATCCAGATCGCTTGTCCATCACTGGAATATTAAATATTAAACATAAGCTGTCGAACTTTGGGTACATACGTATAGTTTTAGCATATCGACACACACATTTGTCACCAGGATGTTATTTTTTATATTTCATTTTATGCTAGCGGGAAAAACGCATCGAGTCGATATGAACTTTGATCCGACTTGACATCATCAAGCCGGTAGAAAAACTCCCCACGATTTCCACAGAACCATATAATCTTCTAGCCGACACTTACGTCACAATGTCTACCTACCCTCCGCCTATGGTGATCATAGTGTTATCAGCGGCCATAAACAAGGAGTTTGCGTGCGAGGTCTTCTCGCCGTCGCCCTCGGTCTCCTGCAGACAGCCGACCCAGGGGTACTTGGCGCGCACGGGGTGCAAGCTGCAAGGGGGTATAGAGAAGTGAGACTAACCCGCCGCCGATGGTGATCATCTTGGAGTCTGCGGCCATGAAGAGCTCGGAGCCGTGAGCGACGCGGTGCTCCTCGCCCTTGCCCTCCGCGGCCGCGCCGCCCGCGTTCGCCGAGCACCCCACCCACGGGTACTTGGCGCGCTCCGGGTAAAGGCTGCAATACGCACGCCGCACTCATTTAAGCAAGGTTTTCACTTCACTATACTCAGAATAACAACTCAGAATAAAATTAGTCTCCAAAACTATCAAAGTATAGTCGGTCTGAGCGTACTGTAGTGAAAACCCATTTTAAAGTTCACAGTAATCTTCTCTCCATTAATTTCTCAAAATTCAATTAAATATCTGAATAGTTTGGATATTTGAAGCTTACAAAAAATGTAGAGTCAACTAAAAATTTAAATTATAAAATTTGATATAAGACCTCGTGTGCATGAAGTGTAACCATTTGTCAAGAAAAAAATCTAGATAAAAACAATAGTAATAGAAAAGTGAAGAATATATTTAATATAAAGACTAGCATAAATTAAACTAAGCAAAGATTAAAAAAGTTGTTAAATGAATAAAAAGAAATAACTACAGTTAATTTCAATGCGTGCAAAGTTAAGACTAAGAAGATAAATAATTAAAGCAAAATAAAAGAGAGAAGATAAGTGCAGCCGCGTAAGAAAAGCAAACTTTACCCGAAGCGCTACGAGTAAAAAGATTTACTAAGAACTGACAGAATCTTTCATATTGAAATAATTTAAAACATTCGACTTACTGTAGATTTGCACTGCAGTAAACCAAACCAACAGTTGAATAAGGATAAAATTCTGTTTTGTTACTTAGCAATTCTTTTCAATCTGAACTTAAAAATATTTTTCAATAAACTTCTTTTAAGTTCAAATTATAAGGCGAAAAAAGAAAATAAGTGAAAGCAATTTTAAACATAAATATATAATAATGAAATACAGCTGAATAAAATTATTTTAATTAATTAAAGAGGCGTATAATAAAAATTTACTTAACTAAACAAAAACAGAAAAGATTCTGCGGTTCCTATCTATCTCAGCAAACAGCAAACTTATTATATTTTGTTATTTTACGCCTCATAAATATTAGAAAATTAGACTCATATAGACAGATAACAATAAATTTAAAAAAATACAATAAATAAAAAACAAGAAAAGAATTTTGTTAGAAGATTCAAAATAGCTCATTATATTTTGTAACATGTGTCCAAGACGTGCTAGTACTAGTAATCGACGCGTGAACACTGCGCTTACGCCGAGGCGATTCGGCTAGTCTAATACGCCTTAACCAGTGGGTCACAGTTGTCAAAATATTGAGTGTTCTGCCACCCATAGACATTTGCAACATCATAAGAAGCGATGCCTTACCTGAAGAGGAATGTCTCTCCGGTGCCGAAGTACGCCTGTCGGTTACCGCGCTCGTCCTTCTGGTTACGTTCGAACCATCGCGTAGAACAATACGCACCAAAAACCTAAAATATTTGCAGTGTTTATACAAAAAGTAGAAATTGTGTGTAATAGGAAGAGAATCATATCGATACGTCGTTTTGTATTAAAAAAACTTGTTAAGTAGCCTATGCGTTCTTCATCTATGCCAAATTTTAGCGAGATCCATGCGGCAGTTGCGGAGATACCTTCTAACAAACATCCATCCAAACTTTCACACTTTTATAAAACATTACTAACATCAATTTTAAATGGTCCATATTGGATACCTTGCTTCTAAAGTATTTTTTTTTTTAATTTTGGCTTCATCGGTCAATGCTTTTGTCTAAAAGTGAATTTGAAAAAAAAAATGTATACTCACTTCGTTATTGCACGTCTTTATCATTAGCAACGTCGGTTCGTGATGTTCAACACGAACGTAAAAGGTGGTCAGAGAGCAGCCGTGCTCTTCTGTAGTATACAGTAGTACCGGCTGGTACATCGTAATCCTCACCGGCAGCCACGACCATAGAGTGAACAGCTGCAACACGCGACCATAGATCAGACCATAGATTACAAATTAGTTGAACTCGATACTAATCTATGGTAACCGGATATTATCTATGCTACTCTAAATGACATTTGAGCAGTTTAAAAAGTTTTTAGATATTAAAAACATGTAAAATCAATTCTAATGAATATAGAATTAAAAGTATTTTATCGCTAAATTCTATGAAATATAAAAAAAAGACAAACATAGACAAAAGGACGACACAAAATTAGTTGTGTCATATTAGTCGACATCTACTTGTGCGGAGTGCGTATATCCAATCCTTATGGTACAACATTGAGACAGTCGGATTGCACGAGCATACATACAGACAAAAATTGCATGCAATATTAACAATGGTAATATGTATAAACATAAAGATATCTTAATCAAGCCATAATCTACCTAAGAAACCAAAGGAAGCCTTTCTAGTGGATCACGTGATTAGCAGACGAAAAAGAATTACGATCAAATCTGAACTAAAGTTTTACAAAGCAACTGTGATTAATTTAATTTATCGTATTTGGTGCAATTATTTTATTTATTTGAAATAACAAAATATCTACGGACACTAACACAACTAGCCACGCAAAGTATTAATAATTAAATCAAGAAATCTAATCATTTTAAGGTGAAATATTGAATGGTGAGTCTTTTTTAGTGTCTACAGTAAATTATAAAAAATATTATTTGTCGCGGTGACATTCTAAAGGTAACTAAAACAAACGAAATAACCCAAGAAAAATACTTTTAAAGTGATCAAAGTAAAGAACCTATAATTACGTTTAAATTTACTACTTAAAATATTTGCATTGTGCTAACACTGTTTAATCTATGACAAATTAAAATGCAACCATAGACTAAGTGCTAACTTCCACAGATTGTATTGACAGGAAAGCATAGAGTATAACTATAGACAATCAATGCCGCCGCGACATCTACAGCCCGAGTTAGTGATATTAACATCAACCCTAGTCCGGCAAACCTTCTGTCTGAGGTCAGACGAGTGCTGGCGCTGGTCCTTGAACACCGCATTAGGGAATGGGAACCACAGGGCCAGGTGGGAGGAGCGAGGGCTCTGCGAACACCGAGCTACTTCATGTCAATGCTATTTGACACAGTCAAATAGTCGTACATACGTGACACAGATAAAAAAGCTTTACTTTCATGTCATGAATGACTTTGTCGTGGCTTATGTAATAAAGGTGTATATGATGTGCTTTCTAAATGAACTAATAGTGGTTATTCAACGGATGAGTGGATCTCGTAATGCATATTAAAAACAAAAACTGTTTATTTTAAAGTACTTTAAAATGAAATATAAATGTCATACAATGTTCGGTGTTCAACGTGAGTATTTGGCCGTTATATTAATTCATATAAATGTATTACGAAAGTTTGAATATTTTAATTTTAAGCGGTGTAAAATGTATGATACATTTTTGTACTACATAATAACATTGTTATAAACCTTACTGTGGGATTCAACCACCTTAACGTTGTATTGACACGTATGTTTGTCTCCATTGCATCAAAGAGAACTCAAGAGAGGACATTATTTTTCAATACAAGAATCACTGCAGTTGAAACTCACAGTAACGGAGGCAATTTCATAAATACAGTTGAATCTGGATTAGCGAGTAAAATGACGCGATCCCTTGAAATTTCGGTTGTCCAGGTTCAACTGTATTCAATAAATTACCTTGCGTCTTAGGGTTGATGCTTATAGATATAAAAGTAAATATTAATTTACGTAATATATTTAAATTATATAGAAAACATTAAAATTGACAAACACTGGTAGAATGACGCACTACAAGACATGAAGTATAATATTTTCATGCAAGTTTTATGGTTGATACAGACTGCATTAAAAGATTTTACGCTATATTTAAGATAGCATAATTAAACATGTAAAAAACGAGCTGTTTTTGAATCTGAACCAACCATTACACGCTTTAGGCCGATTAAAATAGCAAATAAAAATAACAACGAAAAAAAAAACGAAGCGACGACGTCGAATCTCGAAGATATCTTGTAAGCTAGGCTATAAACGAAATAAAAAAAAACACCTAAGTGTTAAGCGGTGCATCTAAACATCGATAATGTCGCAAGCTACCAACGGAGCGACACTTATGATTTGTGACTTAATACTACTTAGGTCTTACTTCGCTCAGGTCAAGAATCTGCGACTTGATCGTTTGTATTGGGTAAACGCCCATCGATAGGGCGCGCGGGCCCGGAGAGTGGGAGCCCTAACGGAAAATCGACACACTGTTAGCACTCACACGAAACAATCGATAACATGCCACAGTCACATCACTAGTCGCGATGTCCTGCTCGCTTATGTTAATTCAAAAAGCCGTGTTCATCGCATCACCTGTTACTCGAAAAACATTTAAATTTTGTAAAACTTTAACAAGATCTTCTCACACGCATGCCAACTTGACGAAAATATAATTTCTTTTTATTAAAACATCATTAATTATCAGATGCTGGCCTCAAAAAAATAAAATGACACTTAAACACAATGATAAAAAAAAACATGAAGATAGTAAAAAATCTGACATTCAAAGCTAAAGATGAAATGAAAGTTGAATCCAATAAAGTCTCAGCAAAAGAAACTAAATTCGATAATGTTTTGTGGAATGATCACATCGAAGTAACACAACACCGTCATCGACAAATCTGGCGACACAGACTGAAAAATAAAATAACTTCGTGTTGACAAAGAAAGGTCTGAGATGTGTCTTGCAACAGATCGACACACGCGTGGTCAATGCCGTTCGGATCTGGTCAATCCGTGGTCTGAAGTTAGTCGTGTTAGGAACGCAATCGAATGATTTTATGACAAAGATAAGCCAAAGCCACGCCTAATGCTTTCGATACGATACCATTTGTTTGCACGTTTCCTCAGACATTCTCTGCAAATCAAGTAAAAACAATTCTAAACACATTATAAGTCAGTTGGTCTGTTCTGTTGCGTTTGGATGCAGTGTGTTTGTTGGACATCTGTAGTCATGTGTATCGATGAACAATCAAATCTAACTTTCAAATTATTTACCGTTGCATTATACAAATAATATTATATAAAATCTAAAACGAAATTTCCTTTTTTGTGATATAAATATTCATTTAGATTGTTTTTTATCTGTAAAATAAGATTCATAAAAATGTTTTTATTAAAACATAGAGTAGTCAATATCAGTAGTTCCAGTAGTTGAACTGAACATGTAAAGTCGGATTTCAACGATGCGTGATTCTCCGAACGGCTGTGGGTACAGCGACAAACACTGAGTCGTTTAAAATTGCTTTTCGTAGTCCGTTTGCAGAATCACGCATGGTGGAAATGCGTCTTAAAAGTTAGTGTTAATTATATATGTCGTCTTATACTGACCTCTCGTATGGTGAGGGTATGGGACATCATCTGTATGTTGACCTGCGACTGGCTGGTGGGTAGATTGTCGGAGGAGCGCGACCTCACCAGCCGCGAGCCCGTTATCACTTGCTTGGACTTCAAAGTCATCTCCGTCTTTATGAACACCCGTGATATGTACTGTGAACTGTTTACAAAATTACCAATCATTAACAGAAATAATTTAAATAATAACACAAAATTTCACAAACGGAATTATTAAATTTATATAAACCTCAATGCCCGTATGCTGAATGCGGTGCGGAGCAGCTTAGTGGGTGAGGCGGGCATGTTGCGGCAGAACTTGTCGATGGCGTGGTCAACGCCGCTCTTGCTGGCTTCCGCGTACCACTCCGAGCTAGTGTTGGCGCAGTGCTTATGGAAAAGGATCAAGATAGCCAGCGCTACCCTGTAGAACACCTATAACACAATATTTAGTAAAACAGAGAAAATAATATGCATCAAAACTTCTCAATTAGAGCTATGTGCTAGGTATATCAAAACACTTGCTAAATCTTCTTTTCCAGCTACATTTATCTTAGTAATCTTTCTTACCTTAATGCCCTCATTAAAGAAGCAGTCGAGGACACGGACGAGGTGCGGAAAGGGCAGTGCAGCGAGGATCCACCACTGCCAGTCGGCGTAGATGCGCTCCGGTCCTATGGCGCCAGACAGCCGCGACAGCTGCTGCGCGGCCGACTTCTGCAAGCAACGCCCGCGTTACGGGTACTCGCGACAACGATAATATTACCAGTAACTAACAAAAATAAAATACTAACGCCCAACCCAGAAAGGTAGAAACGATTTCGAATATCGATTTGCTGCGGTCCTGGTATACATCTTTTCTTTTCTAATAAACAGATACATCTAAGCATACATGCTCGTAAGTCTCGTATGTTCTATTGTGGGACATTAGTATCTTAAACATATACTAAAACTAGTGATTGGTAGAAAGCCAAAACTAAACGAGAAGAGATGCAATTGTATTTTGACAGATTGTAACTTAATACAATTAATTTACGTCACTAGTTTTGTTCCATAGAAGTAAAATTATGAAAAGAATATCCTTTACAACTGCTAGTTATATAATACTAAACATTAGTTGTAGCCCGATTGTTAAAAACGATACGGCCCCTACAACGAATTAGGGGAAAAAGAAAAAAATCTAAAATTCAAGTACATATTATCGTGACTTCACAAAAGTAGTTCCTTCACTGAATGTCGTTTATTAACATTGAAATGGCATAAAGAATGTTGTACACTTACCGAAAACTTAAAAAAAAAACTAGTAATGTTGACTGTTTTAGATAGAATTACCTTCAGGCACTACCGTATTCCGTTGATAAATGAAAAAAATATTATTTGTTCCAGATTAAATCTAAAAACTGATATAATTTGAAAAAATTATTTATGATTGAACTCTTCTGCTTGTATTTTAGTCTATTTATGTTGCATTTGTATACATACAATGCTGAAGCAAACCGAGTGCGTTGCTATTAGGAAATATAAAAATCACATGTGTAAACAAAGCCTTATAGGATTGCGTGTCAGAGCGTTATAATGCAGCCTACTATCGGACCCGCCACGGAATCACACGCAACATAAACATCAGACGTTTTTTATTATTAGAATAACAATGTTTCTGTATTTACTAATACATAACAAGATAATACGATTAACGCAACAATCAATAAGTTTTTATATAATTTCATTACGGAGGCCTATTGAAAATGTCAAATGACAAAAGATGCGAAGAGCTGTGTAGAAAAAAAGAATGTAATAAAAAATAAATATAGGAAGAGAGAAGCCTAGTTGAAATTGTAATTTATTGCAGTGTATCTAACAAAGGAATCTATTTATAATAAACCATAACTTGTAATCGAGAACAAACACCACAACAAAGGGCCACAACGTAATCGAACCCATAAATATTTGATAAGAATGTCGAGAGGGCAGAGGTAGTGACCGCTGGTATCGATTCCCTCGTCGGGTGAACGACATCGGTATAGCAAATCGATGGAGCACCTTTGAACTCTTCTCTCCAATTGTCACGTCAAATAATCAGTCGTCAGAATCACAAAGTCAATCTAACTGCCTTATTCAGAATTTTATACAAGTTCCTCATACGAACGAAGACTATTTAACGACTCGACTTAAGTTTATTAATTAGGTTTACTTAATCGATATCTATCCTGATCAAAGTACGTTGGCGGTTCTATAAACGCAATAATTAACTACAATTAGAGATTATTTAGCTATTTAAAAGTAGAAAACACTACACCCCTTCCATCCACTCTAAAAGCAATGTTGTGGCTCTCGTGATTGCTGCTTAAATTATCAGTACTTCGTCTCTCGACTACATACAAGGTTTGTACGTGGTAATGAAATCACAAACAAATCTTACGGCATGTTTCTTGGCGATCTGCATGACCGTCTTCCAGGTGACTTCGTTGTGCAATTTGGTTTGGGTGATGAACATCTTTTCCTTTGACGCCACCAGGCTCGCCATACAGTGGTAGCATTCTTCCTCTGCGAACAAACAAAACATTATATTAATACTGATACATATATAGCTTAGTAATGAACAACGTCACACAAGTTTAGAAATCCCTGGAGTATCACAATATCAAGAGCAGCGATGGCCACTGTTATGTGAATGTGTTCAATTATCGTGCCAACTGGGCGGGAACGGCGACGAAGCGCAGAGGCAATCAACACGATGCATATGAGAACGTAGAAATACATGCAGCTTAGTGTATTTCTTACAGTAACGTAAAATGCAATACTTCGTTTGGTTTTGTACAAGTCGAGTCATGTCTAACCATGGGTTTCCACTGTCGAAACAGTCACAGTAATAATCACATATTATGTTTGATCATAAAGCTTTAACTGACGTGGTAGTCATTAATTTTTCTGAAGGCATATTTTCAGTGCAATAAAAATCTGTGCCAGGTTAAAATTAGAAAAGTTCCCGACATATCTGAAGCCGCAATTGAAAGCTGAAGGCTACATCGCAATGCAGCATCGTTGCAGACGTATTATGAATGTCGTAAATGCCATTTGAAAAAAAAAGTATAAACCATTTTAACTTAAAATGTGTAAATAAAGAAACGTCACTATTTTATTACATTTGAAATGCCTTTATTAATGTTATTTATTGCATAAATATCGGTCATTGAACAAGAAATATTTTTTTATACGGAATTGCCGGGTGAAAAACACTATGATAAACACAAGGAGATAGGGAAAGGGTGGCATACATAAACTAAGTGGTTTATTAATCAAGGAATTAAAAAGTTAAAGTGAGTAAACTGAAAAGAAACGTTTCAGAAAATTTCCATTTGAAATTAATAGCAAAGGTCGAGACCCCGCCATTTGAGGTTAGGCGGTTACTAAGTGCTGTGTTGCTAAGTGACTCCCCCTTTCCCCCCATCGCCCCGGGATACGAAAACGCCGAAAAGGCAAACTGTACCGTCCATTAACGTGAAACGAATTAAATTATTCAGAACTTTGATATGAAAAAGCAATTTCACGTTACGTATTTTTAAATTATGTTCTACAAATTTTAATGGAATCTCTTCAAGAGAAAGACAGAACGTTTTTAAAGTAATTTTAGGACATAATCCAATAGGCGAAAAAATGTGTATTTTCACAATTGACTATGAGATTAATCTTAAATATTAAAAAGCTTGAACTGAAGGCTATTTTAATCCAAAAGGCAGTCATATTCAAAGGATAGCAAATTTATTTATCACTACTACAATCAAACAATTAAATTTTATCAGATAAAGCCACATTCACGTGTCCGAGGCGGCCAATGAGTGTTTGATTGTTCATAAAACGTGAGCGGTCTCATAGCCGGTAGTAAAAATGTCTCGCTGGTTGTTTATTACTGCCCACGCCCGCTAGATTGCGCTAATGTAAACCAATCTTTATATACATTGTTATTATATAACGATTGTATAAACAGAGTAATTTATATAATCGTTATTCTACATTTGTGATTGTTATTTCCAAATTATTTAAATCAATTCTGAAACGGCGGACATAAATATAACAACCGCAAAATGATGTCCAATTTCATAGAGATCGTTCAAATGTTATCAATTTTTGTGCCTAATCATGACAAAACCAGGACTAACTTTATTCGTACAGCTGACGATACTAATATAATTTAAAAATCGAACTACGGGAAGCGCAGACGCGAATAATTACAAATCTTTTCTGAGATCCTAAACAAAAAGTTTTCAGGTGGATATTTTATTAAACATGTCATTTTTCTGAAAATTGTCAAGACAATTTAGTTTACGTTTAACTAGTTTTTCAATTTACAATAACACTGGTACAATACTTTAATTGTAAAAATACATTATGGACGCTACAACAGATTGCTGGTTTGGCAACATGCCAGTGAGAGTCTCGTCTTTCGACTTTCTACATAACATAAATTCTGTTAACAACTGCCTACTTCACGTTTGATGAGAGGTCACAACAAATTATATTTACAAAGACTGTAGGGTCTGTTTAATTACTATTAAAATTATTAAGCAGACTTAGTTCTTTAAGAGCGCTATCCGTCCTAATACCTCTAAGGTATTGATAGAGTTTTATAGTATAGATAATATAGGCCGTTTTATTCACTGAAACATTTCGATTAAGGTCTTTGACCTCTGATTGTAATTCACGGACAAACCAATATTGATCATAAACATATATGTACACGGTCATATGGTTAACAAACGTCAACAAAACCACCACAAATTAATACGATGTAATTTGAATTCAATTACAAAGGCATAAAGGTGAAAATAACAAAATCAAAAAGCTTTACGTATGTTTAATGTCGTTTGTTAAAAATATTACCACTCTGATGTTATTTTTATCGATGACGAATCTTTTACAGCTTTAGAGGGCCTAGCACGAATATTTGAGCATCGCGCCTTCGTACCGTAATCGACATAATATGTCAAAATTTGTTTCAGATTTGTTGTTGTATTTTATGCCCGGTAGAGGCGCTGGACTAATTTTAATACAAATTTTGTCGATTAAGTTATGAAAACATTCTCACGGAATTTCGTATTAGGCATTCTATGTTTTAAAATGAGAGGCAAAGCTCATGTTTTATTTTTATCGCACTAATTTAACAGAGAAATGCCTAAAATATTACAAAAGTAAATTCCAAACAGTCTAGTTTCGTACGCAAATAACTGTAATGTAATAAATCATAGCTAAAAAAAAAATTGTTTTCGGCTTTCATTTTCGGAATGTTTGAAATTTTCCATCAAACTACTAAGTGAACAACGACGTTACGCATTTCATCAATTTATTTTCAATATGGCGGAGAGTATTCGAAATTCAAAATAAACATTTTAAAATGAACATGTATCTTTTAGTACATATTATTTAGATACTGTCTGCAACAACTTTTTTAAAACATTTCCTATCAAACAACGTAATCACAAAAAAATCTGTAAGATCAAAGGTTAAAAAAATAAAGACATTTACTAGGTAAATATACTGATTATTATTATCTACTATGTTAAAATTACCCTTATCTTTGTACATTAAAAATAATTATAACCATACTATGTTATCGTCTGCAAATTAAATATAATGACAGATTAACAAAATTGTTGGAAATAGTAACGGCAGACGAAAATGTCACGACCTTTGACCATATCGATAAATTTTGCTACTTAAATATAGTGACGTACCGTAAACTCTATCGACAAATTAAAGTCGTGACGTGACAAAACTGTCGAAATAATATGTTTCCGCTTTCATTATCAAGAGTTCTCCAGTTTCTCAACTGTTTACGCGTGACATTGTGCGTTTAGTTTTTTAAACATTAAACGCTTGGAAATCTTTTTCCTGTCTTGTCTATAAGGGTTTTTACACATCTTACTAAAGCAACTACACTGAAATCTATTGTTTCTAGTTGTTAGAATCCTTCTTTTTATACAAACTTTTTTTTATATCAGTCATCCACGCGTAATCTAGAATTGTTTTTCTACAATAGTTCTGTGGATGAAAGGAAACAATTTATATTATTATTTATTACTTAACACTTTACTTATTTATTTATATCAACTTAGGATTTAGTTATGTATGTAAGGTGTAAAGAGTACTATGAAGTTCTTAAATGAATTAAGTATTAAATTAAATAAACTCGGAAGACAGATTCAGAGAATCGTATATCATTCCTTAATAACATCGGATCATTATAGTAATTACTTTACTGAAGAAGTAAACTTGATTTACCAAACAAGGGTTAAAAAGATTAACTTTTAAATTGTCGGACGTGAATGTACGAAATTAACAATTAATTTTTTTTTATCATGGTTTCACGGACTTTACTCATTCGTAATCTTGCGACAATTTTCGTTGGACTGTTATTACATTTGTTATCCCGAGTCCATATGCATAGAATTATTTTAGAAGAGAATAAAAAACATTACTGTGTATAAGCAATTCCTTTTAAGACGTACCGTATTATAAACGGTTAGTTAGTATTATAAACTGACTGGTGATTGCCACGATCCTCAGACATACAAGGGGTACAAACATACACTAAGAAAACAGTTTTGCATTAGCAAAACAGAGTACATACTTTGTTATATATTGCATACTTAAGACATGCAATGAAATAGTAATTTCGTACACTAAATGTGCAATTTCAAAATGCTTATAACGAATTTATGTCACAGATCATTTATAAATCCATGACAGTTTCGATATTATACTAAAATGAGCGCAATTATCTGATATATGCCGTTATGACGTTAACGATCGCTCGTTTAAACATCGCCTCGACCGCGCGAATGTTTTTCACCTTGACATTGTTTGTGTAATTCGGCCGTTACTGACAACATAACACGACAGAGTAATTTACTTCCTTATAGCTCAATCTATGATGAGATAAAAGATTTTTTAAATAATGACTAAACTAGCAAAGTATCTAGACTACCGGTAATGTTAGTAATCTCGATATAATTTAGCATTCACTTAGCAGTGACGTATTTATTTTGTCTAGGTCATGATTTAGCTATTAAATGAGCATCAAGTTTAAAAATCAATTTGTTAAATGGTACCGTAACATACGTAGTACAGCATTTGCTTAGCAGTGTGACGTAGACCGTGTAGACCGTCCGTGTTAAAGTGATAAGTCAATTTTCAAAATGGACATTTCACATTTTCCCCAATTTAACAAATTGACCGCAACATACGTAATGACATATTCCGACATCATAGCGCTAATGTCCTAGCAGTGGTGACGTAAACGATATCATACGTGACGCCTCACACGATTCAAATCGTTAACATTATCAGCCAGTCACGTGCTTACATATGATTCACATTTTTACGACACAGAGTAGAACAGATAAAAATAAAACTAATTAATAGACTATTTCATTCATGATCTCATTTTATTCGTATCGTTTTAAATATTACGCTTTATATATTTAATTAATTCGAACGTTAGCAAAGATTTTTATATCTATTTTAATTTTCAAACGACCTCGTAGCCA